AAAAAAGAATCAGCTATTGAAAGCCCAGTGGAGCACAGTTCTACTCAGACACATGTGGGGTCACCATGAGTTAGAATTGACTCAATGGCAACTTAGATGGGAATGACTGCGGGAGGATTAGGTTTAAAGGGAGAAGATGAGGAGTTTGTTTTTGAGTATGTTAAATTTGAGATGCCTATTAGACACCCAAAAGAACCCTGATTGTGCAGAGGCTAAGTAATCAGTTGCTAATCAAAAGGTCGGTGGTTAGAACCCACCAGCTGCTCTGAGGGAGAGAGACCTGGCCATCTGCTTTGGTAGAGATTATAGCCTTGGAAACCCTATGGGGCATTTCTACCCTGTCCTATAGGGTCGCTATGAGTTGGAATCGACTTGATGGAAACTGGTTTGGTTTTTATTAGACAACCAAGTGAAGATGTCAAGGAAGTAGGTGAATATACAGGCCAAGAATTTAGGACTGAGGTCTGGGCTGGAGAACTTGGGAGATGTCTGCATATGGCAATATTTAAAACCAGGAGACTGGATAAGATCACCAAGGGAGTGAATATAGATAGGAAAGAAGAGTTCCAAGGCTTGAACCACAGAGCACTTGGATGTTAGGCCAGGGAAATAAGGTCCAGCAGATAAGAGTGAGCAGTGGACAGTGAAGTGGGAGGCAGACTAAGAGGGCATGATGTTCTGGAGGCCACAGGAAGAAAATGTTTTAAGGGAGGTGGGAAGGGGTGATCAAATTGTTAAGTGTTGCTTATGAATAGAGTAAGATAAGGACTGAGAACTGATCCTTGAATATAACCTTGTGAGGTGTCTTTGGGGTGCTTGAGTAGTTTCAGTGAATTGGTGGGAGCAAAAACATGATTGGAGTGGGTTCAAGAGAAAACTGAAGAGACCCACTGCAGCCACAAATAAGGACTTATTTTTCAGATGGGAGAAATAAAAGCCTATTTTATACCAATGAAAAGATCTCTGCTTTTCCAGTGAGGGACTAGCCTTCTTACCCACCTTCCCTTCCTTGGACTTCAAATTTGGAAATTTGCTGATGTCTCTTGGAACCCTCACTTTGAGGAGTGTTAATAGGGAATCTGAGGATTGTGAAAATCAACTTATTCCATATATGGAATTCTCTTCCCCCAAACTGTTGGTAAACACGTCTTTGGGGAACATAAATTTTAGATGTAGCCAAGAGCCCTTGGGCTCAATGCCAAGTGCATGTCTCTCATTTTAATTATTATTTAGACTGTTTTTCATACTTGCATTTTGGTGTTCTATCCGAACCTCACAGATGCCCCTTTTCGTCATTTCTGTATTACGGCTTATTCTTTAATGATTCTCGGAACTCCCACTCCAAAGGAATGACAGTGACCAAAGGAGTCTTAAAAACCTAATGTGAATCCCGTGGTCATCACTAGGCTGTTCATAAATGTTTCTCTAATTCTGGGTACATGGTAGGCGCTCCCTTCTCTGCCACTCTCAGATATGGCTGTGTGATTTGCTTTGGCCAATGAAACAGAAGCCTGGAGATGTTTATCACTTGCTGGCAGAAGCCTTAAGAGCAGTTGGCCACACTTTCTTGGCTGTCGGCAATTGTGGAAGCATGTGTTGAGATGAAACCTCTATTGGCCTGGATCTGAGTCACAACAGTGAGCACAGCCTCCTTGCTGGCCCTGGGGAGTCATACTGTATGAGAAATAAATGTTAGCTCTTATTAATGGAGCAAAACGCAGTCTAACCTGACACAGTAACTAAGGACAAAAATAAACAATGGTGTTCCAATGTCCATTTTAACCAGTAGATTACAAGTTTCAAGATGGAAGTTTTACTTTTCCATACCAGGGAGAAAAGAAAGCCAATAAATAACACACGTGATAAAACTTTACCTCACTGTTGGTTCTCCATTTGAAAAACAAAACAAAACTATCACACCTTTAAAATCTTAACATCACTTTAAAAATATTTTTCTCCTAACTGGGAAAGCTAACTTTTCTTCTTCAAGAGACTTAGTTGAACTATCAAGATCCGAGTTTAGTGTGTTTCAAACTTTGTTCTCTGGGCCATCTGCATTAAATCCTGCTGAAATGCTTGTTACAAATGCAGATTCACTAGTCTCAGCCTCTTACATGAATGCTGTGGCTCCTCGCTCCCAGGAGGTTCTGTAATCTTGGTCTTTATTTATATACTATCAATGTAACACTCAAGTTCATTGTCAACATAATGCCTCACTGAATTTAACACGTTTTAATACTTGAGATGAAATCTCAGTGTAAGAAACAAGGAAATCACAATTCTGCATAAAAGAATTTTATTTACTGGTAAGATCCCAATGAATAATGTCAGTTTGCCTGATTCTGCTAAAATGTGCTATTAGATATACTCTTAAGAAAGGGTACAGTGCATCACCAAAAGCTGTTTAACTTGGACTGTATACGTAAAAGAAAACTTCATAAACCCTTGTTCTTTGATAAAATTTTTAAAATATAAAAATGAAAAAAGAAACAAAGGCAGTATTCAAAAATAAAAAATGTCACCTTGGACTATTTACAGTTAAATGCCTTTTTTAATAGAATACTCTCTGCTTAATTATTTTCTTCACATTTTACATAAACCTTACACATAGTCTCACTCCCCCATCTGACCCTTATTCATTTCTTCCATTCCTGTCTCTTGTAACAGTCATCTTCTGTTTTAAAATTTTCTTACTTGTCTTTGAATTTTTCGGATACTCCTATTTCCTCCTCTTAAATTACCTCTAATTCTACTCAACAGACATTTATTGAGCACCTAAGATGTGCCAGGCACTGTGCTGGGAGGTGGAGATGAAAAGACATTGGCCCCCTCCTCAAGAAGCTCAGACTTTGGGTTGAATTGAAAACAACTGAAATCCCAGGCCCCTGTAGAGTAAATTCGGGGATTTCTTGAAACAAAGTGCACTCATGGAGGGTCTGTAAACTTGACCCACTCTGACATATTTCGAATTTGGAATTCTGCTCTTCTTTAAGAAGCACGGCCTCAAAAGCCTAGGCTACCTTTTAAATGCCAGAGTTCTGAACTCTAGCAGGTGGGAGCTATGTGTTGGGCTGTAGGGAACCAGCTGCTCTGATTTGGTTTTGGGGGAGGGTAATCTTTTATTAGGCTTCTAGAAATTCCAAGTTTGAAAAGCCCTTAATCCACAAAAAGATACTAAATTTAAGCAAAAGACACATTTTAAGGAATTCTCCTGATTTGGACTTGCGACAAGATACTCTAAAGTCCTATCTTTTATAAATGTCCAGCAGGAGCTCTTTTTATTACTTCCAAATATATTTCTTCGCACATTTTCTTAGCTTCAAACATAAAAGCAGCAAATAAAACCTGAAAGTGATTTTTTTTCTATTCCTTTTTTGCTTTTATCATGGTTGAACCCAAAGCAAGCTCAGCTCTTGCATTTGGTCTATATATTCTTTGTTCATGTGGCCAACAGAGACCCATTGTAGTTCCTTAAAGAGAAAAAAAAAAAAAAAGGTAAACCATGAAATTAAAAAAAAATCTGTACATGGCATACTACAGAAGCAAACACTAAATCTTATGTTCACTGCTCCATCTTGTTCCATGCTTGGCAGACCATATCCCTACAAACATTCACATTTGGAAATATTTCTCAATCACAATGGATCAAGTCCAAATCACAGTAGTGGACTTCACTCTCAGTTTGCAGCGTGTGCCTTTCATTGAATTCACACAGCCCACTGCTTAATGATGGCGAAGTGAGTTTTCCTGGGGAAGTTCTCCCTTTGATCCCACGCTCTTCCACAGGTCACACAAGGTCACATCTCTATACGGTTTCCATCCAATTTGATGGTACATGATTATCCATTCAAGAGTATTAGAGCCAGATCCTGAAATTCCCAACAAGCTGGTTCCAAGCTCTTTGGAGCTGAAGGCAACTTGAGGAGTTGGCATCACCCCATGTTACATTTGGCCTACCTACTCTGTCAGGATGAACACGGTGTCTGAAACGTGATGAGAACGAGAAGAGCAGGGAAAGAGACATGATCGTGCACAAGCCTCTTGCTCTGTCGTGCATGTATTTTCAGTGTAACAGCATGTATTTTGACACATGAGGGCTTGTGCTTTTTCATTAAAGAAATAACTTGCCCTCAAAAGTTCACTTGGCAAATGTGGCCATGAATGGGTAAGTAGGGTGTGTGGGTGGGTGTGTGGGTGTGTGTGTGAAAAATGTGTCATGAGGTCATGTGTCAAGTCCTGTGAGTGTGCCCTCCTTGCCCTTCCTCCACCGTCACACCCACCTCATCAGCAAGGAAAAGCTGATGGGTTACACCTGGTCAGTTTGGTATTCAGAAGCTTCTGACAGGGTTTCTGAGAAGCTTAGGAAATTCTCCTGGTACTCGGAACAAACAATCTCGTAGCGATAATGTCGGAACTCCACAGCGAAGGTGCCAAAGTAAGACAGGAAGCACATGACCAGGCCCCACTGGATCCTGGCTGCATACATGTGGATGCCTTGGCCCATGAGGATGAAGTCTGGGGAGAAGCAGTCAAGGAAAGCACCCTCATCAGCCACATTAAAACTGGGCTATTTTCTGGGCAGAGACAGGTGATAGGAAAAGTCTGGTTCTCCCCTTCTCATTAACAAAACTGGTAGCCTGACAGAGCTTGCTAAGTGCACGCATCTACACGAATAACAACAGATAGCTTATTATCTTATTATTATTGAGCTTATTTTGTGCCAGACATGGTTCTAAGTGCTTTCATGGATGACCTCATTTAATCTTCACCACACTGTTATTGTCATCAGTTCACTCACAGACAGGGAAGTGGAGGCCAAGTGGTTAAGCAACTTGCCTGAGATCACACAGGTATTAACTGGTGGAGCTGGGATCTCAACACAAGCATTCTGACTCAGGGCTTCGAACCAGTTCGTTCTAAAAGAACCAGTTTGAAGCCCTGTCCTGACTCCAGAATCTGTGCTTTCATACACTATACTCTACACCCACCTAATAAAATGAGATTAGCAAGAGGATTCCAATTCCAAAGTAATTAGCTGGCCAGAAAAAGAAAATTTTCACTTTTGTAAAATCCCTGAAAATGGCTATGGGTTATACCAAAACCAAACCAAGCCCACCACCGTCGAGTCGATTCTGACTCATAGCAATCCTACAGGGCAGAGTAGAGCTGCCCCATAGGGTTTCCAAGGCTGTAATCTTTATGGGAGCAGTTTCCCAGGTTTTTTCTCCCACGGAGCCGTTGGTGGGTTCAAACCACGAACCTTTCAGTAAGCAGCCGAGTGCTTTAACCACTGTGCCACCAGGGCTCCTTCTACCGTGGGTCACAGTCATCATTATATCTGCAGACATTATTTTCAGCCTAACAAACTGCTAATTACCTCCATAAATGTCCAGCAGGAACTCTTTTTATTACTGTAAAAAAGTTCTCTGCACAGCTACTAATGTCTTAGAGGCTCCTCTTCCCCTTCTAATTTCCACTATTGTCTTTCAGACAATTCTTAGCAGAAATAAAGAACTGCAGTAGCTCAATAAAAATCCAAGCATTAATCTATAGGTTAGTGTCATTCGTGGTGTCTAATTTAACCTTTTGCCCAAATGAAAAAATGCAATTGAAAAAACAAAGAAACGCGAGATGTCTATGTCTGAATATTTATAACCTCACCCAGGATACATGGGGGCAGAAGCAGGGAAGGAGAGAGGGTCACAGCATGTCTTAATGAAAGGCCAAGGACTGAATACATTTATTCAGAAAATTTGGAATATTCCCTTAGAATTAGTTTTGTCTCCAGAACTAGACTTAAAATTTTGGGAACTTTTCAGATGGTAAGAATATGTGAAACTACTTCAGCCAAACTTTGCTCTCCTGATAGGCCTGAAGCCATTCACCTGAGAACCAAGAAATGTTTGCAGGTATTCAGAAACAACACAGATCAGAACCGTTTGGTATAAGCTCAAAACTCAGGATAATTTAAAGCCTGTTCACACTACTCTGACTTTGTCAAAATATTGGCAAAGAAATATTAACTTATTACTTAAGCTAACGGGGAAAGGATACATCTTCAAAGACCACATGGGCAGAGTTTTGACCTTTTTACTTTTAAAATATTTTATCAGTCTGTTAGCCCAGAACTGAAACCATTCCTGAAGCCAACTCTTCAGACAAAGATCAGACTGGTCTATGGGACATAAAATGATCCTCGTGAAGAGTGTGCTTCTTAGCTCAAGTAGATACGTGAGACTAAATGGACTGCTCCTATCCGGAGGTGAGATGAGAAGGCAGAGAGCTGGTTGAATGGACACAGGAAATCCGGGGTGGAAAGGAAGAGTGTGCTGTCACATTATAGGGAGAGCAACTAGGGCCACATAACAATGTGTGTATAAATTTTTATATGAGAAACTAACTTGAACTGTAAAGTTTCACTTAATGCACACTAAAAAAAATTTTTTTATCAAGTTGCTAGCAAGCAGCAATTCTTTTGGCTTAAATTTCAAGTTCCTAAATGTTCTCTATCTAATGTAACTGGCAGAACTTCAGAGAACCAGTGGAATGATTGAATAGCAGTTTGTGAGGGAAAAAGATATAGAAGACTCAAACACTCCACTAATCAGAGAATATCTCTGAATGCTAAATGTTGATTTCATATTTCAAGGCCAACTTTCTTCAAAGTTGGAAAGGTAGAACCATGTAGTGGTTGTGGGTGCAAGAACTGAGCCTGAGTTTAAACCTTTATTTACCATGTACTATTTGTGTGATCTTGGGCAAATTAACCTCTCTGTGCTTTACTATTCATACCTGCTGTGATAGTTAAGGCTATGTGTCAACTTGGCTAGGCTATAATTCTCACTGGTTTGGCAGATATTATGTAATCATCTTCCATTTTGTGATCTGCTGTGAGCAGCCTATCAGATGAAAGGGGCATTTCCTTGGGGGTGTGGCCTGCATCTGATATATATGGATGTTCTGGCAAAGCTCGCCTTCTCTTGATCCTGCATCTGACTTGTCATCCTCTGACCTCTGGTTCTTGGGATGTGAGCCAGCAGGCTGCCACCTGACCTGCAGATTTTCGTATTCACCAGCTTTCA